TTTTTATTGCTGAATTATATTGCATTGTTTCAATGTACTACGTTTTGCGTACCCATTCATTAAGTTGATTGACGTTTGGGTTGTTTCCACTCTATTATGAATAATGCTGCTATGAACATTAGTGTACAAGTTTTAGTGTGGATATCTGTTTTCGGTTCTCTTGAGTATATACCTAGGAGTGGAATTGTTGGGTCATATGGTAACTCTGTATTTAACTTTGTAAGGCACTGCAAAGCTTTTTTCCATAGTGGCTGCACTGTTTTACATTCCCACCAGCATTGTATGAGGATTGCATTTTCTCCACATCCTCACCAACACTTGTTTTCTGTTTGTTTGTTTTAAATCATAGCCATCCTAGTGGTTGTGAAGTGGTATCTTATTATGATTTTAATTTGCATTTTCCTACTGACAGTGATATTGAGCACCTTTTCATGTGCATATTGGTCAGTTGTGTATCTTTGGAGAAATGAATGTTTAAACCCTTGCCCATTTTTAAATTGGGTTATTTGTCTTTTCATTGCTGAGTTGTAAGTTGTAAGTGTATATATTCTGTATTTAGACCCTTATCAGATAATGATTTGCAACTGTTTTCTCTCATTCTGTGGGTTGCCTTTTCATTTTCTTGATAAGTATCTTTGAAGCACAAAAGCTTTTAATTTTGATGAAGTCTAGTTTATTTTTTTCCCTTGTATTTTAAGTGTCAAATCTAAGAAACTATTGACTAATCCAGGATCATGAAGAGTTACACGTATTTTTTTTCTAAGAGTTTTATAACTTTAGCTTTTATATTTAGGTCTTTGATCCATTTTGGGTTAATTTTTTATCTAGTGTGAGTTAGCGGTCCAGTTTCATTCTTCTGCATGGGATCTTCATTTGTCCCAGTGCCACATGTTGAAATGACTCTTCTTTCTCCCACTGGATCGTCTTGGTGCCCTTGTTGAAAATCAGTTGACCTTAGATGTATGGGTTTATTTCTGGATTATCAGTTCTACTCCATTCGTCTATATGTCTAGCCTTATGTCAGAAAAGATTAACTTTTGATCCCTTTTTTATTTAAATATTGCTTTATTTCCTGCATTTAAACTTCATAAATATAAAAAGCATTGTGTATAGTGTAATACCCAATGTAAATTGACTGTCTCATTGCTTTGCATTTCCCTCTTAGAACTTTTGTATTCCTGTAATGAACAGCTGCTTGGAGAAATGTTGTGAATTAATGATATATTAGTGGAGAGTTAGCAGGGGATACTGAGAAAATCTTTTCGGGGCAAAATCATTTTGACTGTCAGAAAGCTGACTCAGATACCCGCAGTTACTGTTGGTGGTTAATGTTAACTTTTATCTTTCCTCTTTTAAGGAACAGTGAAAATCAGGAATGAACTATGAAGTCCTTTGCATTCTTAGTCTTGATAGGACATTTTAACAGTACAATATTAATTGTTGACACAGTTAAGAATTCTACTTTTTTATTTTCTCTAAATTGTAAAGAGAAGTGACATTTTAGATTTTATACGTTAGTGTGCTGTTAGTCTCAG